TAGTAGGAGAACCACGCAACACTACGTGAATGGCGCCTTCACACAAAGAACAAATACTTGCAACCCGACGTAAAAGAGGGGTTGTCAATCCCTCCTGGGTAAAAGATAGGTAAAAAATTTAGTAGATTGGATAAATAGATCTTGCGGGAACGCGAGATAAAATAAATAAATAAAAAGTGCAGCAAGGTATTCTTGGGTTTTAGGATTAATAGATCTGAAAATAAAGGCAAATAAAAATAGATATCAAAGGCAATTATGATAAAGAAGAGATCCGAGGGCCGTAGATTTCACTAGTGGCTTCGCTCGAGACAAATATCATCCAGTGGGTAAACAAATTACTGTTGGGCAATTGATATAACTGCAAATAATCATGATGATATCCAGACAATGATCATTATATAAGCATCACGTCCAAGATTAGTAGACTGACTCCTGCATGCATCTACTACTATTACTCCACACATCGACCACTATCCAGCATGCATCTAGTGTACTAAGTTCATGGAGAAACGGAGTAATGCAATAAGAACAATAACATGATGTAGACAAGATCTACTCATATAGGAATAGACCCCTTCTTGTTATCCTTAATAGCAATGATACATATGTGTTGTTTCCCCTTCTATCACTGGGATCGAGCACCATAAGATCGAACCCATCACAAAGCACCTCTTCCCATGGCAAGAAAAATCGATCTAGTCGGCCTAATTAAACCAAAGATTCAAGGAAGAAATATGAGGCTATAAGTAATCATGCATATAAGATATCAAAAGACTCAAATAACTTTCATGGATAAAAACATAGATCTGATCGTAAACTCAAAGTTCATTGGATCCCAACAAACACACCGCAAAAAGAGTTAGATCAAATAGATCTCCAAGAGACCATTGTATTGAGAATCAAAAGAGAGAGAAAGGAAGCCATCTAGCTATTAACTACGGACTCGTAGGTCTACAATGAACTACTCATGCATCATCGGAGAGGCACCAATGAAGATGATGAACCCCTCCGTTATGGTGTGTAGATTGGATCTTTGGTTTCTGGAACTTGTAGCAGCCGGAATTGATTTTCGTCGACTCCCTCAGGGTTTCCGGAATATTGGGGTATTTATAGAGCAAAGAGGTGGTGCGGGAGGCCACCGAGGTGGGCACAACCCACCAGGGCGCGCCTGCGCCCCCAGGCGCACCCAGGTGGGTTGTGCCCCCCTCAGGGCACCCCTTTGGTACTTCTTTGGCCCATCGTGTGTCTTCTGGCCCAGAAAAATTCTCCAAAAAGTTTCATTGCATTTGGACTCCGTTTGGTATTGATTTTCTATGAAGTAAAAAAACATGCAAAAAACAACAATTGGCACTGGGCACAATGTCTATAAAATGATTGTAAAACATCCAAGAATGATAATATAACAACATGGAACAATCAAAAATTATAGATACGTTGGAGACGTATCAAAACTCCACTGAGAGAAAACCCCTAGAGCCGAAGAATTAGATAGTTGTTCAACATCACTCGAATCTAAGTCCAGTACGCTCCGCCTATTACTCTTGAGAGCTCCAAACTCTCTAACGGTTAGGTGTCAATCTCTTTAGAGACCAAGAGTAATTGTGGTTCTCGAAGAAGAAGTCTGTAAAGGTTCGCAGATCGCCTCAAGTATCTACCACGAGTGATCGACATTGGTTGACGAACGAATTGTCGAGGAGAATAGGGTGAAGAGAGTTTATCTTCCGTGTTAACTCACAGCCCCGCCAGCTAGACATAGTCCTTGTGCAGAAGGACGAACTGGTCGAACAAATACCATGTCACCATCGAGCACCACTGGTTTCCACTGCTACCCATGTTTACATTCAATCTGTTTTCCTTCATGTAATTTGTCTCGATGCATGCTTTAGTTTCCATTCAATATCTAGTTTTAGCTTGTTGTAGTTTGTTTTTCATTCGCTCCGCTACTGGGTTTCGGGAGTTTTGAGATTTTCAAAGAAACTTTAGAACTCCCATTCACCCCCCTCTGGTAGACATACTTCGTTCCTACAATTGATATCAGAGCAAGGTACTCCTTGACTCTGCTCATTTTGGTGTAATAACCTTGGAGTTTAAGTATGTCTTTAGTGAGCTACAAGTCGCATCTCAAGATTCCCATATTCGATGGGACGGACAATCCGTTCTGGAAGGAAAAGATGAAGATCCGTGTCCGAGAAATAGATGATATGTGGAATGTGGTGCAATAGGGGTTCACGATTGCAATACCTTAAGCCCCCACTGACGAGGAGAAGAAACTCATTCAGATGGATGCTCAAGTCAAAGATGAAATTGGTGGCCATCTCTCTCAAGTGCAATTTTTTTGCTACCACCAGTGTGAAGCTATGAAGTATTTGTGGGATGTGCTCGAGAAGTTAAACTATCGGGGATATACCCCGCGGTATGACCCGGCTGGAAGTATGACCTGGCCGGACTTGGCGACTCACTAATGACCCGCCCTGACTTGGCGACTCACAAAGTGACCCGCCCGGATCTCTCCACTCATAGATGACCTGGCTGGGCCTGGTCACTTATTGGTAACCTGGCAGGCGGGTCAGAGGAGCGAGAAGACCCGGTGGCCCAGAAGGCAGCTCAAGGGAAGGTCGACTTATATTCTTGTGGGCCAGTTTAAGATGAAAGCCTAAGGAATATTCCCCTACAAAGGAAGCAAGACTAGGACTCCACTTGTAATAGAGTAATCCTAATCCTACTATGACTAGTCATGTAACCCGCCCCTTCAACTTATATAAGGAGGGGCAGGGCACCCAAGAGGGACAAGTTTTCACGAGTTAGACAAGTTAGGGTTAGACAGACAAGTCTATAGCTCTCGAGATAGAGCACCCTTGTAATCGTGATCATCATCATCAATATCAATGAAGCAGGATGTAGGCTTTTACCTCTATCGTGAGGGGCCGAACCTGGGTAAAAACCTCGCGTCTCTTATCTCACTCAATCCCTCTCAAGCTACCACATAGATGCGTTGGCCTCACGACTAAGTCCTCACACTAGGACATCTGCCATGACAATTCCATGATAGTTGACGCCCACCGTAGGGCCTGCGCACGGGGGTGTTGAGTTATTGGAGGGATTTTGCGCAGGGATCGAGAAGTTCGCAATTCATCGGACGAAGAAAAAAGAAATTAGGGTTGTGTCAGATGCGCTGCCAAAAAAGTTGCCGAGTTAACGACACCGACTGGTCATCCAATTCAAAGCCAGATCAAGTTTTTTGGAGCTCTCGCACGTTGGCAAGACGAACTAGGTTTTTATCAAAGAAGCTGCCATGATTCGAGTACACGGACAGGATCTCCGCCCAATGACAGCTGTGCTACAGGGTCACTTCAAGATCGCGACGCAGAAGCATTACTCGGGTTTTTTGTCAAAATATCAAGATTGTTGGATTATTGCTAGTTCACAACCAAGTCGGCACCATGACCATGACTCAGAGAAACAAACAGGGATTGGCCAGAACGGCCACGAACTGGACTCCTTGGCCACTACGGGACGTGCTTCGCCTCTCGTCCGAGTCATCGTCATGCATCGCCTCTCGTTCGGGTCGTTCGCGCCAAGCCGCCCTGGCCTCGCGCTTGAGCCACCGGATTCCATCTTCTGCAGGGGCCTCCTCGAGCGTTGTTTCTGCCATCAACGGCCCGCGTTGCTCTGCCTCGTTGTGGGTCTCCTCGTTTGCGACTGCGACTCGAGCCGTCGGCGCTGAAGCCGCTTCAAAGCGCCGCTTCCTTGAGTCACCGGGGCCATGCGACTCGCCTCGTATCTGCTGCTGCGGTTGCGGCCGCGTGCTGAGCCGGCCGTATATGACCGTCTGCAGCTCTACCTCTGAGCCGCTGATAAGGCTCGCCTCCATCCTCTGCTGCAAGTTGCCCCGGTGGCCTCACTTCTACCTGGGCATCCTGAGCCGCCCGCTTGCTGGCATATCTCCAACCCGCCTCTGCCTCGGCCTTGCTCAAACTCCGACCTGCCATCTCAGTCACTGAGCGGATGCCTTTGTCGCTGCTATGCTCACCAACGTGAGCCACCGCCAACATTGAGCCACCGGACTCCGAATCTGAGTGGCCTCCGCTCCAGCCTGATGTGACTCGGCGTTGCTCTGGCCGGCCCTCCCATCAGTCTACCTCCTCTGGGATCGGGCCGAGCCGCCGCTGGCCTTTCTCTACCTCACCTCCACAGCAGCCGCCCACATCCATCTGGAGCCGGCATCAAAATTCATTATTTGTGTCTGCTACTGCGTACTACCGCACTCGCCGTCTTCGAGCTACTTGTCGAGCCACCCATTGGTGAGCTGCCCCGGCCACCGTCACCACCTATGGACCGCCATTTCGCGGAGGGCCGCTGCCTCCGAGTTGCCACTTCCATCGCCACGACCCCAAACCAGCCATGCTTCCACATCCACAGCCTCGGTGACCCGCCACTGCGGTTCCCCTTTGCTCGTGAGCCACCTTCATCGAACGCCCGCGCTTCCACGGCCACCTGCCCTCGTGACTTCACCACATCCTCTGCAGCACGGCTGGCTGGCCACCGTCGAGTCTCCTGTGCCCTGGGCCGCGTTCCGAGTCGCTTTTGATGGCCTACCTTGACCGTGAGCCGCCCTGGCTTTCGCCTCGCGCTGGCTCTACTTGGAACCGTGGTTGGCCCGCCGGCGTATCTCCGCACAACATCTGATACACCATCTTCGAGTTGTGGTTTATCTTGCCACGACCTGATTCTAACGTCAAGTGGTCGTTGCCTCCACATCTCGAGCTGGCCCTTACTCCGCTGTACCGCACTACCAGCATCACCTCGCTCGCACGCTGCTGCAAGTTACCGTCGTCTTCATTGCTGAGCTACACGGCCTCATTCCGCCGCACTGCAAGTCACCTCCTTGGTCGCGGCCGCGCCAAGCCAGCCTCACCTTTAAGCCGCAGCTGCCCTGGGTCGTGCTGAGAGTCGTCATCCTCCCACCTCTATGCTGGACCAAGAGCAGCCACGCCACCACTCTAAGCCGCCTCTGCGCCTCTATTGCCCCTACCGCCGCGGCCTACACCGACTCCGAACCCCCGCCGGCTCTCGGCGCCTCGCTCCGGCGCCCCATCTTGGTCGTCCTCGCCGGTGTGCCTAAACTTCCGTTTTGGCCTTTCCGCCGTCGAGTCACCTCTGCCGTGGACTGCCGCTACCATGAGCCGCCGCCTGCTCTCTAAGATGCCGGACCGGGTGCTCAACCTTGCCGCTGCACTTGGCCGAGTCTGGCCTTGCACCCTTTGCCTATTCCGCTTCTGAGCGCCTGCACCACCACGGCCTCGACGAACCGGCCAAGCCTGAGTTGCCCTTGCCGGCGCGCTTCACCGACGGTCCGCTTCCTTCGACGCACAACTTTACAGCTGATGCTTACCTCCGCGGGTACGACATCAAGCCGTCGTCGCCGATTGCGTCCAAAACAAAACGTCGCCTCGCAAGTTGCCAGCCGCGCCGGCTGTTTCTACCTCCATGAGTCGCCGCCGCAGACCAACATTGCTTCACCGGGTCACCATCTACGGCCCTGCCATTGCGGACACGCGTCAAGTTTGGTTGACCCACCGCTGCTGTATCGAGGCACCTCCGGCATCGCCGGTTCACGGCTCTCCACCCATCGGTTTGTTGTTGACTCTCTACTACCACGGCAATGCCTTGAGCTGCCGTCGTGGCCTTGAGTCGCTGCTTCCGGGCCATCTGTGCCGTTGCTGGCTTCCACCGCTAAGCCACCGGCACCTCTCAGTTGTCACGACCGTACCACCTTAAGTCGCCCTTTTTCTAGCGCCAAGCCGCTGCCGCTTCACTAAACCGCCACCGCGGCGACCCACCGTGTCAAAGTTGCTATTCGCCTTCGCTGCGGGTTGCTGGCTTACATCGCCCCCGCAGCCTTGAACCGGCTTCGCCTCTGTTACAAGCCGTCAGGCCCCTCTGCTACTGTCATAAGCCGCTGTCATTCGGACGAATCAGGTGATGTCCATCTAAGTTTATTTTATTAGCGCATATTTTTTGTCAAAAAACAATCACTTCGTTCTGCAATATATTTTGTGCAGGACAATGATTCATTATAAAGGTGGTGACATGCTATGCCTGTGGAGTGTGTGTTAGCATCATCATGCGCTCGCATCCGCACCCGCTTGTTGTTGAACGGGTGTGTGCAAGCCGCCGCCCGTGCAGGTCGATCTACACCAAGTGGCTAGGACCGCGCCTGCGATTGAATCATCCGTCCGCACCGACTTATAATGTCGCGGCTGACTCATCCGTGTGCTCCCGCGGCCGACTCACCCATGATTGATTTTAGCTTCATCGTCGGGATCATCAAACTCCGCGGCGGATGACTATTGGCTTGACGTATCAGGTGAAATCCATTCAGTATATTTTTATATTATATATTGCTTTCTTTAAAAAAGAGCAATTACTCTGGCTTGCAAGTTCTCCAATCCAGGATAAGTTGTCTACTGCAAAAGGGATTATTATATCACTGAGATGTTGAATGACTCATACCGGTTTATATCACAGTCAAATATGGAGAATCTCAAGATAACTCCTCGAGTCGTCTTAAGAGTCGGGGGCTACATTGACATGACTCGGCAAAATTGGCCAGTATCAGTGAATCAAGAACTTCGGGCCATTGGAGGGAAAAATAACCCAGCCCCGGAGACTATTGCTATATTGATGAAAATTTAAAGGCCGTTAGAAACTTTCCGGCTCAAAATAAAGAATTCCGGTTTAAAATCCAGCTCAAGGGAAATTTGTTTTCTCGCAAAGCTTTGAAGCTCTCAATATCCAGTTTAAAACTCTGGTTCAAAAAGAATCCATCTCTCGCAGGTTCAAGTTCTCAGGAAAAATTAAAGGTTGCCAAAGAGAACTTGCTGCCATGATTTGCAGTGCAAACATGGGTATACTGCCTTTTTGGCTTATCTTATTGGTCGCTTGGGGGCTTCCTGTTCAAACATAGGTGTATTCACGAAAGAGAACATAGCGTTACTACCCTCTTGACCGAATATGTCACTTGGGGGCTTCATATTCAAACATAGGTGTATTCACCAAAGAGAACATAGCGTTACTACCCTCTTGAGTGGGTTATCTTGTTCAAACATAGGTGTATTCACCAAAGAGGACATAACCCTTCCGGGTTATCCTGCCTGTATGCTAGCTGCTTCTCCATCAGGTAATCCTGATTGACCCACCGAACTCTTAACAGTCAGTCTTTTAAACAAGACCCTGAACTAGTTAAGGTTAAAACGTCGAATTGTCATGTCAGGGCACGGTTTACAGATAGCGAGGATGAACCCAGGGTATTAAGCCGCCTTCATTGAAACTTGGTTAAACCTGGCTGTTTGCATGATGCTACTCCGACCTTGTGTACTCTCGATAAGTCAATCTTTAAACAAGACCCTGAACTTATCCAGGTTAAAATATTGATTGGGTCATGTGAGAGCCGGCTTACAAAAAGCGAGGATACTCCAGTGGCTATCGTGCTAGTTTCATTGAAGTATTCTGTTATCATACACATACATCATCATATATTGCATCATACATTGCATCATCATTACATCATTATAGCATGCATCATATGTGCATGGATATACTGGATTATATGGCAGGAATCAGTTTTCAAACCGGGTTATATTATTCAAATCTTTAATAGCCAACATGGCTGGATTTTTATTAAGGTTATCAATAACCAATATTATGATTGAGGTTTTCAAAGTAACTTCAGCATAATGGCTATTATTTTATCAACGGATATGATTTATTCTACAATGGAGGGAATAGTCCCGAGTTCCTACAGGCTTACGACCCATCACTTGGGGGCTACATTATTCAAGTTGAGATTACATTAAATATGCAAGTCCCATGTCACTGCCAGCATGCACCATGGCACTTGGGGGCTAATGCAAGATCATTCTTTTTACTTGCCTTATTGAAGACCCGACTCATCACATCGTAATGAGCCGGCCCTTGGGGACTACCAATTGCTCCTGTCAAAAATTCAAGGTACACAAGTCTTAATCCATTATATTGAAAGGTCCACTACTCAGTTGGTAAAGTATAAAGCTCTTAACCTTGTGACGTGGGTTCGAGCCCCATGATGAGGGTTACATCATATGATATTATTTTCAATGAAGTATATATAAAGTCCCAGCTCAGTATTATCTTACTAAGCCGACCCTTGGGGGCTACACTGGTTGAAGTTTTTATGAGCATAAGGTAATTACAAGTCCCAGGTTGCTGCAAGCATGACAACCAGGCACTTGGGGGCTACACATGGGAAGTACAAAGTGTTCAATTTATGATTGTCGACTTACATGAACAACCCGGATTTCTCCAAAGTTGCAGCATTAACATTCAAGCAAGTCTTAAGCTATTACTACGCTCCCTTCTTAAGACTTGGGGGGCTACAGGTGATATGCATATAAGGTACACTTTCAAGCTTGGTGTTAGCAACAGTTATGACCCGGTGCTGTCAATATTTACAAGCCGGGAGTTTTGGCAATTATAACACGCCGACGTTCTACATCCTCAAGCCGGCAGAACACCAGATGAATGTCTTGAGTCCAATATTTTTATTTAAGCTGGAGCTTTGGAAACCGACTCAAAATGGATTATTTCTTATAATATTTTGAAAGTGCGTTATATCCCCTAGAGGGGGTGAATAGGCAATTTTTATGAATTCTTCACTAAGGAATTTCAGGGTGAGGGAATTCCTGAGTGAAGAACTACTTGCAGCGGAATAAGTACTCAGAAGTAAACATAACAGAACATGAGTGAGGGAGTCCTGGATTAGGGGGTCTCTGGATAGCCGGACTATATCCTTTGGCCGGACTATTGGACTATTAAGATACAAGATTGAAGACTTCATCCCGTGTCCGGATGGGACTCTACTTGGCATGGAAGGCAAGCTAGGCAATACCGATATGTATATCTCATCCTTTGTAACCGACCTTGTGTAACCCTAGCCCCCTCCGGTGTCTATATAAACCTGAGGGTTTTAGTCCGTAGGACAACAGACAATCATACCATAGGCTAGCTTCTAGGGTTTAGCCTCTCTGATCTCGTGGTAGATCAACTCTTGTAATACTCATATCATCAAGAATAATCAAGCAGGACGTAGGGTTTTACCTCCATCAAGAGGGCCCGAACCTGGGTAAACATCGTGTCCCCTGCCTCCTGTTACCATCCACATTAGACGCACAGTTCAAGACCCTCTACCCGAGATCCGCCGGTTTTGACACCGACATTGGTGCTTTCATTGAGAGTTCCACTGTGTCGTCACCATAAGGCTTGATGGCTCCTTCGATCATCGCTGGCGATGTGGTCCTGGGTGAGGCTTTCCTCCCCGGACAAATCTTCATATTCGGCGGCTTTGCACTGCAAGCCAATTTGCTTGGCCATCTGGAGCAGATTGAGAGCTACGCCCCTAGCCATCAGGTCAGATTTGGAACTTGAACTACACGGCCGACATCCGCGGAGACTTGATCTTCGACGGATTCGGGCCCATATCGGACGCGTCGTACAGTCTTGATGAGCATGACGTAACTCTACCGTCGGACAGTGTTCAAGAGATCGCATCCGCAGCTACTCCGTCCATCAATCTGGAGCAAGTCGCGCCATCTGAGAGCGGGGGGATGGACCCCACCATGGAGGCCGCACTCTCAGTGGCGATAGACCCGGATACCGACTTCACCCCTTACAAGAGCCGTGTCGCCAAACCACTGGATTCATCTCCGGCCACGGACTCCGAGCCGCTCATATCCGTGCCCGTCGAGTCCGACTGGGCGCCGATCATGGAGTTCACCTCCGCGGACATCTTTCAGCACTCACCCTTAGGGGATGTGCTAAATTCATTAAGGTGTCTCTCCCTGTCAGGAGAACCTTGGCCGAACTATGTCCGACTAGAATGGGATGTGGACGACGAAGAAATTCGCTGCCCACCCACCACCCACTTAGTAGCCACTGTCGACGACTTAACCGACATGCTCGACTTCGGCTCCGAAGACTTCGACGGTATGGACGACGAGGCCCTGAGACGAACATGATCCACCGCCATCGGGGCACTGGACCGCCACCTATCATATGATATATGCATGGTGGGCACCCCCAAAGAAGCCAATGGCGACGAGAAAGGGGAGGATGACCCCTCCAAGAAGCAACCCAAGCATCGACGTCAGCGGCGCCGCTCTAAGTCCCACCACAGCAAGAACAGTGATACCGGCACAGGCGATAATAACACTCCGGATAGTGCTGAAGACAATAACAATCCCCTCCAGCACGGTGCAGAGCTAGAGGACGAACAAGCTAGCCCCCTAGAGCAGGCAGCAGATGGAGAACTGGAGGAGGACAATTACATGCCTCTCTCCGAAGACGAGGCGAGCCTCGGTGACGACGAGTTTATCGTGCCTGAGGACCCCGTCGAGCAAGAGCGCTTCAAGCGCCGGATTATGGCCATGGCAAGTAGCCTAAAGAATAAACAACAACAGCTTCAAGCTGATCAAGACTTGCTAGTAGACAGATGGACCGAAGTCCTTGCGGCCAAGGAGCATGAACTCGAGCGCCCGTCCAAGAGTTACCCAAAACGTAGGTTGCTACCTCACCTCGAGGAGGAAGCATTGAAACCTCATTCACCAGTGTACGATGCGGCGGACCGGCCACTACGCGGCCGAGCCAGAGAGGCGTTTCAGCCTAAAGTTCAGACC